TTTTTTCTCTCGAATTTGCCTAAGTATACATTTTCTGGTGAAATTACGAAGCTGTCAGTTTTCAAATTTGATCTGATAAGTTGCGCGCTATCAGTGGTTTTTGTTTTTTTAGGCGATGTCAGGTCATGGTGGATGGCCTATGACTGTCTTTCTTACTCCGGATTTGGATCCAATCACGGGCGGTACGTATTTCCCACCAAAGGATTCAATGGGAGGCATGGGCTTACCATCAGTGCTGAAACTCGTGACTAAAAATGTAAGCTGCCGATAGTATATGTGGCTGTAACAATTTCATTTATCATTGCAGTGGAGCGATGCTCGCGTACGTGAGTCTATGGGTGGACAAGGAAAAATGATAACGGAAGCCCTAAGTAAAGGTGAGTGGTTTGTAGTAATCGCTGTCTTCTGTATCCAGTGAAATCCATCGTTTTTTATCAGGCTCCTTCTACAGTCATGGCGATGCACCTCCAATAGAGCCTGTAATCCATGGTGCATTCAAGTACAAAGTTTCCAATTTCGATGAGAAGTACGGTGGATTTGGTAGCGCTCCGAAATTTCCCAAAGCTTGTGAGCATGCATAACGATTTTGTGATTTCTAGTTTTTAGCTTTGTGAGCACGATTTTAGGTGACCTGGAGTTTTTGGTCAATCACTGCTCCTGGACAAAAGAGGATTCAGAGCGGGAGTTGTGCCGCCATATGCTTGACGTCACTTTTGACGCCATGATCCGTGGTGGAATTCACGACCATATTGGAAAGGTAGTCCTAATTTTTCGGCGAAGAGATGTTTATTAGTGAAAGGCAGTGTTCAAGCGAATTTGAACAATTAATCAAGGGTTCACCACTTGGGGGCATGTCTCCGGGCAAGCTTACCTGGGCCTATTCGCAGTCCGAAAATTCACACCGAGAACGCGAAAACAGCGAGAAAGGGTTTCAATGCAGGAGGTAAAGTAGTAGGTGAGGGGGGTCTCTCACTCTGTGAAGTCACACTTCCAGCCTCCGAGCGATCTTCTCGCTTTCTTGGTCGCCCTAACATCGCCGCCGGCAACGCGTGATTTGAAGCTGAACCGAGAAGATCGCTTTAAAAGTTGGGATTTAACTTCACACAAAGGAAGGTTCCACTCATCTGTTATGTCCCTCCTGCGCTGGATCCCCTTTTCATCGTTTTCGGGCTCTCGAGTATGGATCTTTCGATTTAGCATAGCGAATAGATGCAGGTAAGCAAAAAATGTCAAAATCGACTTCTTGGCCGAATACTGCCTCATTTGCGCTGTCGCCTGGACAGTGCCTCAAGCCTTCTTAGAATTTCCGTTGGCTCCATGCGTGTAGTTCTGCCTTTGGAAAGACTGCTTCGATTTTGTCCACTTTTTGCGTTTTTATCTTTCCGACCTTTCAAGTTGAATAGCAGAAATTCACTGCAGATTACAGAAGAACAAAAACTTGAATATGCTGGTAATGCAGTCACTGTAATTCTAGGGATTCCATCGATATTCCGTAGACAAGGAGTGGCACGTGCCACACTTTGAAAAGATGCTGTATGATCAAACTCAACTGCTCGCCGTCTTCGCTGATGCGTGCTTCGTTTGTGGTGATAAATACAAGAGTGTTGTCGAGGATATTGCACAATACATGGAAGAATGTCTTTCCCATCAGGTAATTTGTTCTGTCAATATGTTTTTGTTTTTAGTTTCCGTATTTTAGGAAGGAGGATTTTACGCAGCCGAGGATGCTGATTCGCTACCGACGGCTGAGTCCCCAAAAAAGAAGGAAGGCGCTTTCTGTGTGTGGGCATACGACCAGGTATTTTCAGTACAGTGCAAAAACTTCGAGTTTTATACGTCTTTGAATTTTAGGTTAAAGAACTTCTGAAGGATCAGAAAATTGGTGATCATGATGCTGCTGAGGTGTTTTGTGACTACTACGATGTCGAAAAAAATGGAAATGTCAGCGCGTCGAAGGCAAGTCGCACACATTATTAACTTATTTATTTAATTATTTGAATTTCAGGATCCTCATCATGAGTTAACGGATCAGAATGTGCTACGCATACGAAAACCCTACGACCACTACGAAAAAAAGTACGGCGTCACTCCTGAAGTTCTCAATGAGGGTCTTAATAAAGCTAAGGTAATTGCTAGTCTTCATTTTTTACCGCTTGTTTGCGCGCTATAATGCCTGCCCTAAATTTGCAGCCGTCTTTCTTTGCTTGATTTTTTTT